GCTGATATTGGTAATATGGTACCTCAGACTCCACAAGAGCATATTTAAGGGCAAGTTGCTGATGGATAATCTTGGCCACTTGGTTATGTCTTGGTTGTGTATATTAACAATGTTAATATACACTTTGTAATATTTTGTATATAAAAGTTTGCAGTTATATATTATCTGTCACCAGGTTACTCCGGTCCATGGGTCAATTCGGAAGTCCTCGCCACTGCTCTCTCTGTCCTCATCGCATACATCGCTCTGCACAACAAGAGCAAGATTCTAGCATAAATGTTATAATTTAATTTATTTTATAAGAAAAATAAATGTTTAATTTATGAATAATAAATTTATTACAATTAAGTAAGACATTTTTATTGGAATAATCCTTCATTTGAAACTGGCTGTTAGACAAACTGTAAAGAAAGCTGATTTTTTAAATTACTATTCACAAGACCCTTAGGTATACCTAATCATATTAAAAATAGATCAAAAACTTGACTTACCTTATCGCCCCACTCGCAATAAAGACGTAAGTTAACCTCCGTTATAACTCCGCATAAGAAATGTGATCTCGGAAGCGGATGCGGAGTTATCATTTCTTGCGGAAGCGGAGTTCTGTTACAACCCTAGTTTGAATACCACTCTTGAAGTTTAGATTACAAACTAACAAACATCTCTCCAACCATCCAAACAGCTGCATTTATTTGAGAAATACTGGGAAAATAGATATAAAATAAACATCGCGTCGCCAGCCGTTGATCTAGGAGACAGCTAATATTATCTATACATCGTTTTTATATTCAAACTTTAAATAAATACCTTTAAGTACATAATTTCATCGTATCGTATTATTGATTTTATTTGCTAAAAAGTCATATTTTAAATACACTTATTCGAAGTTTAATTTTTATGAATTTTAAAAGTTAAATTTAATATAGGCTGCAGTCTTAATTAATTATTTGTAATAACGTTAACTATAACAATGGCTGACCAACGTATTCGCTAATACTGTTTAGTACGTATGCACTGGTTTGTATTGATCCGAAGGGCGCCAAAACAGAAACAGTAGTACTCAGAAAATTGATTCGTTCGAACGTGTTTGCGACGAAAACATGCTTTAAATATTATTGTTTTTAATATTTAACGATGTCGTCTTGTGCTGTATTATGGTGCGGGAAAAGCAGTAGATTTTCCTGCTCAAAAACCGACCAAGTAACCTTTCATCGGTAAGTCGTATTTAAGAAAAAATAAATTAATACAGTTTCATCTTGGTTCAATTTATGCTGGTTTTTGATTTGATGTCCATAGACTACGACCGATGTTTTTTTGTTATCAATGCATCTCGCTTACACTTGTGTAAATCCCTAACTACTGTCCTTATCTTCATCTCACCATAGACTACAAAATTCAATGTAGAACATAGGAATAAAAGTACAATCGAGAGGCAATATTACTTGGATCATTTATTCTTGAATTATTCATATTTAAAGATCTGCGTATGGTATATTTATAAACGTCATGACGCCAATTCACAACAAAAACTGCTGATAAAAACATTTAAAACAGCGCAAATACACGGAATAGTTACTATTTAATTTGTAGCGTAGTTTTTAGCAATCGCAGTCCTTTCTCGGCTTACTGATACAAAGTTTAAAAACTTATTCGAATTGTGTCTATTTAATTTTTAATCTTCACCTGCACTTTTTGTACACACCGAGATCTCGATCCTAATTTAGGGGTGACTATGACTAGGCCATAGTCAACCACACTTGTGTAGTAGTTAGTAATTTTTTAACTTATTTTTAATATAATGTTGTCCATACAGATTCCCAAAGGACCCAGAAATAAAACAGCAATGGATTGATGCGACAAAACGCGATAACTGGTATCCATCCAACTTCAGCGTTATTTGTTCGCGACATTTCACAGAAGAGTGCTATTATGCGATTAAACCTCGAAGACGTTTATTCGATGATGCGGTACCTACAGTTAATTTGCCTGTTATTGTAAGTTTTGATATGTTTAATTTGAATTTTTAATAGAAAAAATTGCCCAAGATTACTGTAATCAATAAAAGTAGAAAACTAAAACTATTAGTAAAGAAAAATCAATTAATATTAGGCGATCCGCTGCTCGTTTCCCTCCTTCAAAAGTAGTTTGTTTTGCCAGTGATTTCAATAAAACTAAATTTTTTGCAGACATTCGATTCGTTAATAAATGAACTCGAATCGGACAAACATTTTAAAGCTTCGTCACTCGCATCAGCTCAAGAACCGATATCGATAATGTTGCCATTAGAAGAGAGAGATTCCCCCGAACCCGTTACAGAAGCACAAATAGATTACCAAGAATTGTACAAAGAAATAACTTCGTACAACATTAAAAGACTATGTGATCGTATTTCTGAATTAAAAGAAAGTGTCGACCAGAAAGACTTGAATGTACGACGTTTACGAGAACAAGTGCGTTATTTTAAAAGACAAATAGTGATTATGGAAAAAACGATACAAGATTTTGATGAAAAATGCAACGTAAACGAAGAAAATGAAAATTTTCTTGTTAAAATAACTAATCCAGAGAACGGAGATCCATGCAAATATGATATTAAACAAGAGCCAAAAAAAACAAAGAAAAGAAATCGGAAAGGGAAAGCGAAAAAAAAATATAGTTAAGTGAAAATAAAAGAGGCTTTAAAATATGAATATTCATTTGTGATAGCTGTGGTAATATCATCAACGCCAGTTTGTAAAGAACCGTATCGAAATTATATGTCATTGTTTATGATGTTCGTAATTCATTGTAAGTATTAATCGTAAAACATTGCTTTAGTTTGCGAATTGTATTTGTGTATTTATTCGATTATGATACAATGGTGACTAAATGCTTTGCGTAACTTTTTTCAAGACATTTGTACGATTATAATCATGAATTCTTAATTAAAGTTGAGTGCATAAAGTATTCACGGGTGTAAAATAAGATATTTATAATGCTTTTTAATATTTAAAACATATCCAAAAATAAATTTTATATTCCATTGTAACTTTTTTCCTTCTTACTTCCATTTTTCCCTAAACGGTGGCAGATTGTCTGGTTAACACTAAACCCTAAAACGGTATAGGCAAAAGATATGATGATGTTTCTTATGGTATAGATGTATTTATTTTATTTTTACAAAAAAAGTAACTTGTGCTCGCAACTTTGTCCCCATGAAATTGTAACTTAAAACGTAGCTTTTTAATGATAAACAATATTTGAAATCAGCCCGGTAGTTTTTGAGTTATTTTAATACATATAAAAATACAAATCTTTCCTCTTCACAACATTAGTATAGATATGAATTTTTATAAAAAAAAAATATTTTTAAGTAAACCATAGTAAACGTTTTAATTTTTAAACGTAAATGTCAAAGTCAGTTGACAATTGATGATGACAGATGAAAAAACTAACCTTAAAAAGTTGTATGTATCTGAAATTGTTAATGTTTTAATGTTTACGTAAACTGAATATACCATGACCGTAAGACCTCGAGAAAAACCATCGGAAGGGGATGATGATCCCGTGGAGGCTATGCTAAAGAAAAGTGGCTGCTTAGAATTGCATTATAAAGTGCAAGTTAGTTTGTTTACATTCTATGTCCTTTTTTATTGCTGTTAAAATTGTTTTGATAACTATACGATAATGCAAAAACTGTTTTATGGATAACACCATTCTTTTTCGGAAAATCAACTAGCAGTATCTATAAAATACGATCAAAATACGAGTCCTCAGTCCTCTTCCCTTCGCCCTATTCTAAAAAGAATAGATGATGGGAACTGATTTTTAGGGTAGGGGATTTATAAAGTGAAGTTTATTATGCAGATGCATTGACTGCAATTTCCTTTGCTTTAAAGTTACTCATCTGTCTTCCACCTTATTGCAGATTGCATGCAACTTTGCCATGTGAAATTAAAAAAATAGTAATAAACATTTATCTTTAGCTTTGATGATGGAGGAATTTTTGAAATCGGTCCTGTAGTTTTTGAGTTATTTCACTACATACAATATCAAAAAATAAGTCTTTTCGCTTTACAATAATAGTATAGAATAGTTTTTTCCTGCGATGACGCAATGAAATTAAAAAGGAATCTTTTTTCTTCTCCAGTAACATATTTGATTTGTTGATTATTTACAGGAGTGTATCGCTACTACAAAAGACTGGAGAAAATGTCAAACAGAAGTAAATGATTTCAGAAGCTGCATTGAAAAACACAAGAATCTAAACATGAGAAATAATAGTTGAAATTAGTGTATAAAATGAATTAATTTATAAATTTTAGATGTAAACTAAGAGTTGTTTTATTACATGCTAACACTCTTTAGAATTAACTAAGTTTTTATCATAATAAAGATTTCTTACCATTTGTTTTTTCTTCTAAATCTCCATACAAACAAATAAATGAACTAAGATTAAAAAAAACTATTGCCATGTTTAAATTGGTGATACGTTGGGCAAATGGCAACCCTTTCACCTTAAAACCTCAAAATTCAAAACGTCAATGTCAAAGTCAAATTGCATATTTTATAGGTTAGAATTATAACAAACAAAACAATGATAAGAAAAATAAAATTACCATATTATTATTCGGTATACGCGAATTTTTCGACAAAAGTCGAGATAGATGCTAGACTTCGAGACAGCTTTGAATCAAAGGAATATAAACCACGCAATCATCCTGGACGTACTAAAGTAAAAATCGCTGCAATTCCACCTGATATCCTAAAGGGTATAAAAGTCATATTAGAAGATACGGGCGCTAAATCTCTTATCCAAGAAAGCGAGAACCTATACAACTATCTCAGGTCAAGAAAACTACCTCCCGAAGAGAGCGAAATCAATGAGAAAGCGGCAAATATTCACAAAACAGTGTCACACAAATTTTACTCACAATTGACTAAAGATAGGTCAGAATTATCTCAAGAAGAGATTGATATGTGCGAAAAGAAAATACAAACATCAGTATTTAACGTTTTAAAAAGAAATGTATACAGTTGGGCTAACATTTCTTACGATAAACCAACATGTTTGCAATATTTAATATCAAGAGCTGCAGCTGAATATGCTATCCTGGTACGTATATTTGACGAAATAAATAGAAAAATACCGGATTATAAGCCACGAAGTTTCTTTGATTTCGGTTCAGGTGTAGGAACTGGCACTTGGGCTGTCAACACATACTGGAAAAAACATATTTTTGAATACTTTTGTGTTGATACATCCTTACACATGAATGATTTGTCACGTTTAATACTCTGCGAAGGTAAAGATAATGTACCTTTACCATTCAAAGCTTATTTTCAAAGACAATTTTTACCCGCATCTACAGATTTGAAGTACAACATAGTGTTATCAGCATTTTCTTTATTCGAAATGCCAAACATGAAGACGAGATTGGAAACTGTACAGAAATTATGGAATAAAACTGAAGATTTTCTTATAATAGTTGAACAAGGGACTAATGCTGGCTTTAAAATTGTTAATGAAGCTAGAGAGTTTGTTTTGAATGGTACAAATGTTGAAAAAGGTTATGCATTTGCACCCTGTCCTAACGATAGCGTGTGCCCTAGATATCTAGAGCACGAAACTCCGTGTAACTTTCTAATGAAGTATGAAACATTAAAATTCCCTTCAAAAGTAGAAATTCAAGCAGATTTGTTTACGTATGTAATTTTAAGGAAAGGTGTACGTCCGACAGATGATTCACAATGGCCTAGGATTGTACGAGCTCCGATAGTCCGTTCTAGACATACAGTTTGTAGGTTATGTACAGCGCAAGGAGAGTTAAAGGAAATAATCTTTTCTAAAGGCAAATTTGATACAACAACGTACAGATGTGCGAGATCCAGTAATTGGGGTGATTTATTACCAGTTAAATAAAATGATTCTCATGTGAATTTGTTTTTTAATTTAATTAATATTGGATGTGAAAATAGTTTTAAATTACTTTATTTTAAGAGTTCCTTTCAAGCATAAAAATTTTAATATTTTATTTCCCTGTAGTTTTCCAAAAAAAATTTGGAAACAGCGCCATCTATTAACAACAACTGAAATCACAAAACACAACTTGTTGAAGTAGTTGCACCGCTAGATGTCCCTGTTTTTTCGACGCTCAAAACCCAAAACGTGATATAGAGGATCATTCGCTGGGAATGACCATCGCGGGCCGCGATTGTGAAATCATACTTACCTGGCGTAGGGGTTACCGTGATCACGAAGGCGGTTCCCCCAGGGCGAGGCCCCTCCATTGCACTGCGGTTGGGTTGACCCCTGCGATTATCCCTAATGCGGATAACTCGGACGCGTAATTTTTGGTAGTGGGGACTGCGTACGCGCCGTCCCCTCCATAAAATTTGTAATCGAAACCCTTCAATTAGGGGTTTCCTAGGGGTGAGGATGATTTCATACAGGACATTCTTTGATCCTGTAAAGAAATCGTCACCAACAAACACCTTGACCCTTACAGCGAATTGTGCAAGCAATTCGTTGGCTATTGGCTGTTCGCCAGTAGCGATAATAATATCGATTCCATGGCGTTTTGCGAAAATGTTCCAAAACTTATTAATTTTAGATTATACTAGCTAAGAAAAAAAAGTTTCTTGATGAAGAAAATGTTCTGAAAACTTAATCGTTCCTCACATTTGCTAAAAGTTTTAAAGACTGATTGCAGATAATAAAGCAACAAAAATAAAAGATAATACTAGCTCTCGCCCGCGACTTTGTCCTTGTTTAATAAAAAAAAACTAAAGTAAGTAGCTTATGTGTTCTTCCAGACTAACATCTGTGTAACATTTTATTGAGATAACAAGAGGGAAAATTAGTGAACTTCCCAGTGTTTACATTTTTACTCATACCAAACTTTTGTTTACTTATTGTGATAAGTAGGTAAATCTACCAACAAAAGTGTTTTATGTGAAGTTAATTTTTAGTTTTAGTTTTTTTTTTTTGTCTTTTGGAGATAACCGGTAACATAAATAGTTATTGAGGTGATTCGGCGAGTCAGTGGACTTACGAAAACCATAGTTCCCATTGCTATTTAATACGAAAAAAAAAGTTGTTTAACACTAGCTTTTGCCAGCGACTCCGCACGAATGTAATTAAAAAAAAGTAAGTAGTCTGTGTAACTTTATACGTTTTATTTATGGCTATAAAACTAAGACATTCTCATAACAACTTTTATTAACAAATTCATATGACTCATCTACAAGACAGTACTCGGACAATAGCAAATATGCTCACAAGGAAACAGTTAACGGTGAATCTCCACTGCCGTAGCACATGTGTTGCTATCTCTCTTGTTCTTACAAAAAGAAACAGAGACAGCGATAGTGTTCGTAAACAAGTGCACGTCATTTTAATTTAACGTCGTAAATGAGATCGTTTTTGTCAACAATTACAGCATAAGATGAAGTCGTGCGGTGCATTTTGCTTTTGGTTAATTTATTTGATAACCATAAATTACGTCAATGGCCGTGGCAGTAAGAGTAAGATTCTTTTGTCTTTTTTATTTTCATAAAGTTATTTGTTTTATTAGCATAGGGATTTATAATTGTTATAATTAATAATGACTTAATTAAATATTTTATTTATAGTAAAAGGTGAGAGTAAAATACATTTTAACATTTACAGTCGAATTTCTCTGTATATAATTTGTTTTGAGCGGGATCTTTTGATTTAATATTTACCCAATAGGTGGCTCTGCTCCTTCACATTTTTTGGCAATGTAAGGTAATATTTGTTGGTTTAGTACATTAATCTTATTTTTTCAGACTGCACACTTACTTTAAACACAGATTTTGGTGAACCAGCGCCTGTGTATATTAATAATGGAACATATTTGACTCCCAATACTCCGTCGGGCGGCATTTTACTATCCCGTTCGGATACATTGCTCGTTGGATGTCCTGGCAACAAGAAGTTTGTTGTTTTAGGCAATCAAACGACTAATTTGGACGCTATAGTATGTTATGTATATTGAATAATATTAAAATGAAAGATAAATAAAATTGGCTGTTCATTTAATATAAAAATACGTGCGGATGAAGTCGAGATAATTTTTTTAAAATAATTCATTAACTAGTCAGTGTTCTATTTTACTCATTATTAATCATTAAGATAGACAATGTGTCATTATTAAAGCATCTTTAAAGAGTCTGTTCATTACATAAAAATATGGAACTAGTGATGTGCATAATTTTGTTTAGTTAAACCATAATAATATCGATGGAAGAAAAAAACGGTTATTTTCATCAATTTAAAAAAAAACATTGCAATTACATCCTGTCACATACTTATAATAGTGTACAATATTCTAAGTGGGATGTAAATGTAATTCGTTCACTGTATAGAAAATGTTTCCAGGAAGTGCATTGTCTTCACGACAATGTGTTCCGGTCAGGTCGATGGATTGGACAATTCAAAGATATAAAATGTACTTCACTGCCGTGGTTCTCGGCCGAGGAGACGTCTATTACATGCGCTGGTCGACATAAACTTTATCGGTAATTATACTTATTAATACTAAAGAGGAAGATTGATAATTAACTATATAAAAGTGTTTTACACATAAGTGTCGCGAGGAGGAGGGTAGCAAATTCTTTGGATAATACCATATTAATGGTAGCCCCCCTAGAATAAAGCTAGACCATCTGATGGCGAGGTAAATGGTTGCGAGATGGCGAATAGGTATTTACTAGCCAGGGCATATTTTTCTGCCACATTTTAACACCAGGTGGGTCTGTTGAAAAGCACTTGTAAAAAGCAACCTTAAAGAAGAGAAAATTAATCTCGAAAACATTTTTCTCTTCTCTCAATAAATATTACTGTATTGCAGGGTAGGTTATAAGATCCGCGATGTCTTCCATACATTGTACACAGCGTGCTTCTCCCGTCAACTGCTGTCGACACTGTACGTACACCACGAGCTTAGACCGTGCAGTAATTTTATGCAAAATTCGTCGAGCAGACCTAACTTTCTTGGTAAGCATCTATTTATTTATTTCGACTACTATATTTACAGTAACGGTATATTGAAAAATGTTGCTATAGAGGGCGGTGTGTTCGACAAAGTGCAAATGTCAAAAGTTTATGCGGTGCACAACCAGAAGTATCGATTGAATCAAATTCTAGGAGATGGTATGGACCAGCAATACATAACGAGGACTCAGGTACGTTGTGTGTTTTAATAAACTAATCAATTTATTTCATGCTTAAGTTACGATTACAGGGAACGCAGTCAGGGTTAACACGTGTAGGTGGATTTTATTTTGTTGCATTAAATCGTATCGTTATCGAATCATACAAAATGTGACTGCAATTGTCATCATTTGCAACTGCCGTTTGACATTTCCCGCAAAATAACTCCTTTTTATGCTTTCCCAAAAATAATTAAACAAGTTCTAAATAATTCAAGATTATTATGTCATCGTTTTTGAATCTAGCCTGTCAAAACTATTACAGTTCCTAAACCGCGGTCATTTAGCGGCGAGAGCGGACTTCGTGATGCGTGCGACTCAGAAGGCGTCTTTCCATTACATCAATGCGGCGCCGCAGTGGATGAGAGGAAACGCGGGAGACTGGGCTGCTTTAGAAGATGTAAGAACATAATAATAGTGTAATTAAGCCTCTCCAGTCCCAGTGGGTTGCCTATAAGAGATTGCTTATAACAATATGACTGCTCTAGCGTAAATCTTAAAGTTAATAGTTTAGGCCTGTCCCACCAAATTGTAAATTGTCTGATAATATGTGTTGGAAATATCAGGTTTTAATACTTTATCCGACAGTGACGTCATTTATAAGCTATCTAAGCCTCTATCAGCCAGGCCCTTGGTATACTGTAGTAGTATTTGTGCATAAAGCGTAAATAAACAAATTATAAATGTAACTTCTTGACAAATAAACTCGAAATAACGATTATTATTTTGGTCTTTGTCTTTCCAGGCACTTCGAAGACGTATATCGTCGTACGGTTCTGGAATACAAGTGTACACGGGGACTCACGGTGTTGCTACGCTAGCTGACCAGCATGGTCGTCTGCAAGAGTTGTTTCTTCATATTGATAATAACAATAACAGAATAATACCTGTGCCGATGTATTTTTATAAGGTAAGTTCTTATCCAGAGTAAAATAGGCTATATTTTACATTTTTTTTAATTTCAATTTAACGTGGGCGAGTGCCGAGCAACGGATAATTCGTAATATAAAGTGGAAAAATTGACTTACAATATATTTGTAACAAAGAAACTAAAAAACTACTGAACTAGAATGCTACAATATCTCGAAGTAACTAGCTAGATTTAAAAAAAATAGCTGCCAGTAAATTAATACACTAATGAACTCAGGTTTCCACTATTACTAATTTTTATTAAAAAAAATTTACAGTTGATATACGATCCTAAAAAGAAAACAGCGGTCGCATTTATATCGATAAATTCATCGTACTACAACATCACTATAATTGACAAGTTGACGTTTTGCGATGACATTTGCGTTGACGACCGGAACTATTCATGGTTAAAATGGCGTCCGAACGACGGGACACACAGTTTCTGTTGTGAATACCAAGATTTCGTTAATTACATCGATTATTTACCTACATTAGATGTAAAAGGATTATTTTATTAATATTAAGGATTAAAATAACAATTTAAAATTAAAAATATACCTCGTTTTGATCAATGAAATGTAGAAACGTATTTTATGGCGGCATTTATTTCACGGTTTTAGTTATTTTATAAAAATTGTAAGATAAAGAGTAGTGATATAGTAAAACAAAGGTTACTAACGTTATATAGTTATCTAGAAAAAATGTTATCTATACTAATATTATAAAGAGGAAAGAATTGTATTTTTGTATGTATTGAAATAACTCAAAAATTACTGGGTCGATATTAAAAATTCATTCACCGTTAAAAAGGTAATGTATCTGTGAGTATCATAGGCTATTTTTTTCATGAGGGTGATGTCTTAGCAACTGCTAGTATCTGAATACTTTAGTATATAGTTTTAATGTGATTTGCAGATTATCTGTAGTTTATGGTAAGAATTGGAATAAAGGAAAGGAGTATTAAAAATAAAACAATCGTAGACATTCAGATATATTTTTAAACATTATATACAAATATTTGTCAATAAAATATACTTAAACTAGTGTCTTTACAATTTGAGATTACAACATTTTCACTATTCTATACAAAGCAATAGCATAATCTCGCATTATTTTTAGATCATCAACCAATAATATTTTGTGCCATTACAATCACATAATCCTTTTTAATAATAGAGAAAATAATCACAAGTTGCGAAGAATATTAAGACAATAACAACACAATTTTCTTAATAAATACCAATATTATAAAGAGGAAAGATTTGTATTAACTCAAAAACTACTGAGCTGATTTTAAAAATTCTTTCACCGTTAAAAAGGTAACTTATCTGTAAAATAGGCTATATTTATTACCATTTTTAATTTTAAAACAATATCGGGGGCAGCGGCTAATTTTTAATATTCGTGTAAATGAGCTTTTCAATGTATATTTACCATATCTAATAAAGTTTATTAGTGCATCAAATTAAGTTTTTTATTCTTCTTCTTATCATCAACGGCAACAAAACTTGTCTATGATCTACAAAAAAGTTTGACACTTGACAGATAAAAGGGCGGGAATTTTTGATAAACAGTTCTATGCTAAGTGAATTTAATCATTCCGGAAGTTTCTAAAATGCATTAGAATCACTAAACACAATCTGAGAAATATTTACTTTATATTGCATCTATTTTAGAGTAAAATTAAGCATTTAGTAAGCGATATGAAGATGTAGAGGTGAGCATCGACAAGTTGACGTTTCGCGATGACATTTGCGTTGTCAACCAGAATTATTCATGATTAAAATGGCGGTTGAACGCTTTTGCGGTGATTTTAAAATATCTAAATACTAAGATTCTCTTCCTTCTATAAGAGATGTCAAAGCTTGCCTATCACGTTTGTTTTCACAAGCGCAAGTAACTAGCGCTAACAAATGTTTATTCGAATACTCGGTTCTCTCCTGTACAAACTCTTCTAGACCTTTCCTCGGTAAATAATACGCTTTAACATATCTATCTACATATTCCTGGTAAGGTATTGGCTTCAATCCAGATATTTTCTCCAATTTTACAAACAACTGCCTATAATCCAATTGCATAAGACCTCGACCTCCATTAGTGCATTTTGTCGCATTAGAAAAACCTTCAACTAACAAATGTACTACAAATTTAGATACCATAAACCATATAGAATTCAACACTTCACGATTCAATGATACTTTACTTGATATATTTTCTAAACGAAGGGCAAAAATTTGTATTTTCCTAATAATCATATCAACGTATGGGCTATGTTCTACTGCGACGTTTTTCACGTCCCATTTTACTTGAGACATTGCGATTAACGCAGTTTTTGCGTCAACTGCCTTAGCTGCGGAACACATATACACAGGCATACGTAAATCAGTAGCAACCGCTAGAGTATTATTTTTAAAATGTTCTAAAATCATTCTTTGATGTTGAGCTACGATGGTATCTAAATAAGGTTGCAGAGATTCAAATTGTTTAGCCAAAAATATAACACTTTCTACAGCAACTATCCTCTCACACAGCCCGTGTAATGTTGCTTCGGAATTCATATCTAAATGTTGTGGCAACACCGGTGATAGCACAAAATCTTCTGAATTAATATTATTAGATATTCGTTTGAGGGTAGATGTTAATTTTGTACTATACAAAGTAGAGGAAGCCACCTCTAAATCTGAAGTGAAAAATAAATGAACAGCGTAAAAATAATAATCAAACAATTGGTTCATCAACATTATCACTTCTAACGATATTTGTGGTAAATATCTACTTATTTGTAGATACTGGCCGCAATTCCTTAACACAGATAATGTCGTATTCGTTACTATCACGCTGTTCGATATTTTATCGCAATGTATCCTATCATCATCGACGTAATCTCCTTTTAATTCATCAGGTTCGTCATCAGAATCATCACTCGGTACTAATTCAGTTTCTATACCGAATATATCATCATTTGTGATATTTTCATCATGAAACATTTCGAAAGGTGTGTGTGTTGTTTTATATTTGAAATATCTTGCGATATACACACTATCGTCTTGTGAATGTACTGAAAAGGTTGTATCAGATTGTGTACCAGTTTTATTTAGAGACTGTTCAATTTTTGGATTCAAATACTTTTTGAACTGTTTAAATTCTTGTAGATTCAATAAATTGAATGTAGATTTAACCGGACATTGCTCCCATCCCTCGTTCTCTAAAAATAATTTCAATTCTTCCATCCTACCTCTGTGATAATTTTTAATATAAGATACGCTCTGCGTTTTTATAAAATCTTGCAACAAATCTGATTTATCACCGCAAAATATTTCAGCTACTTGTGTCAATTTCCTTAACACACCTAACATTTGTATAAACTTCTCGAATGGATAATCTTTTAAATCTGAACACTTCAGAAAAGTTGACACCTTAGTCTGCACATCATGCCATATTCTTATCAATCCCGCTTTTAACTTCTGTCTTATATATTCTCTGCTTACATTCTTTTCAATATCAAAAACGTTATTTGACTTAACATCATCATATTTGTTATGCCAATCGACTAGCAAATAATAACTTCTCATAACCATAAACAATTTCTCACACAAATTTAACAAACAGACAGATGCTTTGTTAATATTCACTTCCGAACACATATCTTGAAATTTCAAATCAACATCATTTATATATGGTTTTAAAGCGTCTATCGCAGATTCATTAACAGCGGACGAATAATGCATATGTAACTGTTCCATCGCCGCTTGAGTTTTACCTAACAGATCGTATGCCTTTTTCAATTTCATAAAAACATCTTCATCGAAATTATAACAAATATTTGCTAATACGGAATCTAATTTTTCTTCAGTCATACACAAAGTATCGTTTAGTCTTATAGATAAGTCAGCAATACAAGTATACTCTTTATTATTAT